TGCGTATATTTAATAACACCATTGTCGAACCCATTTTCCCCCGATAAACCAAAATGCCCTGTCAATCCTTGTAAAAGGTTCTGGCACTGTTCGCCTGGAATCAGTAGGTTCAGAAATTTTAACATGTCAAAGCAGTTAACCCCCTTGCATTAGCTCACATGGTTTAACAGGTTAAACTGCCCTTTTTTGCCAGATTAGGAGTTGCAATAATTTTTTCTTAACTTTTGGAAACCACTTGACAGTTTAAAGGAATTATTGCAACTCTGCCCACGCCCCATACCGCTTTCACAAAACTTTTGGGACGGGACACTTTAGACCCTCGGACGGACAATGGCCCAACGCTTATGGGCAAACAAGAAATTTTTGATAAGAACACCCAAACAAATGCCTAAAACGTATTTGGCTTCGGTGAAAGTTAAAGAAAGGCACATGGCCCCCCGCGCCCCGATCCGGATCTGCCCAACTTGGCCATGCAACAATAATGTATGATTAACATTTTACGTCGGGGGTAAAACCCAGAGGGTAAAATCACCCGGGTTAGGGTTTGGATAGACTGTTTACAGTATCCCCAATACAATAAATTACAAAAAAATTAAACATATTGAAAAGTTGAAGACATTTTATCGTTTTACCGATTTGGACATTCATGAGCAACCTAATTTTGGTTGCGACATTTTTCGTTAATTTTTGGAAACATTTATGTCCGTAAAAAAGGAGTTTTAGGGACATTTATCGGCGGATTGAGACCATTTTATTCGTCAATTTTTTTGGACATTTATCGTCGTTTTTGGACATTTTTCGAACCCGTTTGGACATAATATCGGCGCTTACAGGACAATCAATAAACGGGTTTCAACATAAATAAATCCACCTATCGACTGTTATTTTTGTACTCTTTTCAACTTATTTGGCGAAAAACAATTATCAAATAAGGAAAAAATGTTCGTTTTTTTTCTCGGACTGGGAAAAGATGTTTTGGTGGAATTGACCGTTCTTACTTCTTATGGCAAAAAACTTTTGAATTGGCTAATGTAATTTTCTAAAAAATTTATTTTTGCCTTTAGGCTTTACGTAATACCTCTGTTTTAAATCTTCCGTTCGTTATAAACAATTTCAAGTCAATCTCCAATAAAATTTAACGTTTGGAGTTAAAACCAGAGGGACCCGTCAAGCAGTTTATTGTGTCTATTTTTCCTTAATGATATTTTTGGAAAGTACTAGGAGTAATTTAGACGGCATTATTAATCTTAGTGATATGCAAATATTTCTATTATTATTTGCAGATGATGCTGCGAATTTTCCTTAAACCCTAACACATTGCAATCATTATTAAACGATAAAGAATTATACTGTAATAATAACAATTTGAAACTTAATGTAAATAAAACAAAAATAATTATTTTTGAAAACGGTCGTCACACAAATTAAGATTTTTACTTATATAACACAAAAATCGAAATTGTCAAATCCTTTAAATATCAAGGTGTACATCTATTCAAGAATGGACAATGGAATAGAACACATGAAAGTATAGCACAACATGCGTCTTTTGCTCTTCATTGTTTGTTTATTATCTTTAGTCAAGTAGATTTACCCATTTCACAGCAAATAAAATTGTTTGATTCTCTCGTATCACCAACTTTGAATTACGCGGCGGAGGTATGGGGATCACACATAGCACCCGCTGTCGAAATTTTATCATTCTATTTTGTAGAAAAATTTTAGGAACTAAAATATCCACAAACTGAGAAGCGTTATATGGCGAACTTGGTCGAACACCTATGTATATTCAAAGGAAAATAATTACATGTATGATTAAATATTGGATTAAGTTATTATCGCTTCAAGAAAACACTATCCTTTTTTAAACTTATGCTATGTTAAGAATTAATGCTGACCATGGAAGTCTTGTTATGTTAATAATTGGGCTTTCGCTATTAAACAAATTTTAGATGAATCTGGATTAATATTTATATTGGAAAACCAATATAACATACAGATAGATTTTGAAGCAATTAAATTCAGAATTCTTAGTTTGTATTACGAAAAAGGTATATATCAATAAATAATTCACCTCGTCTTGATACATACAGTTTATTTTAACATACTTTTGATTTAGAAAAATACTTAAGTGTATTTAAGTGTATATACCGAAGAACCAAATAATAGAATAGCCTCATCTAAATTCAGAACATCGTCCCATAATTTAGCTATAGAATATTGAAGATATCGTAATATTCCAAGAAATGAACGTTTTGTCAAAATTGCCAATTTCATCAAATAGAGAATGAATATCACTTCCGAAGTTCTCCGATTTAAGAAAAAAGTATCTTAAACGGTATTACTACATATGGCCGACTAAGCAAAAGTTTATCAATTTAATGTCCGAATCCTCGTTAACTGTCATTAATGGTTTAAGCAATTATATATTTCACTTTAAGAAATTAATACTATCAAATGTGATCTGTATTTTATTCATATGTTTGTAAGGCTCTTCTGATAAAAATCCATGTACTTGTGTTGTTTGTGTTTATATATTTTGTACTTGCTATAAACATGTATATGTTTAATGCAATAAAGTTTTGAAGTGAAGGATAGATTCTTGTGACCACACGCCGTCGTTGAACTTTTTGTGTCGCCTTGAAATGAACCGGTACGGTATTCTTCACTTCTTATTCTTTTGTTAATTTTCATAAGGCCATTTCTCATAAAGTAAAAAAAGCTATGGACTTGAAACTTCATAGGATGATAGATCTCTTTAAGAAGAAGTGCAGTGCATAAGAACATTTTTATTTTTTGAGTTATTGCCCTTTGTTAATTTTCATACTTTATTTTTGTCTTGGCTGTTTCGCCTAAACTATAAAAGCTTTAGATATGAGACTCCATAGGATAATATATCTCATTGAGATGAAGTGAAGTGCAGGAAAACTGGTACTCCATTATTTTTGAGTTATTGCCTTTAGTTGATTTTCTTACTTTATTTTATCCCGGCCATTTCTCCTAAACTATAAAAGCTATGGACTTGAATCTTCATAGGATGGTATATCTTATTAAGAAGATGTGCAGTGCATAAGAACTGGTACTCTGCACTTCTTATTTTTTGAGTTATTTAGCTTTAGCGGTGTTTATAAATAACCTATTTTTAAAGATGAAAATACCTAAGTGACAGCTATACTGTTCACAAGGCGACACATCCGATTCGCGGAGTTCTAGATCATTATAATTTGTGTGGCTAAAGGCGGCTTAATGTGCAGTAAGGATCCTGGTAGTTTTATTATGAAAACATTACTTCCAAATGACACTGCACTAGCATGTGCAAAGCATGGCGCAGGAAACGATTTCTTGTATTACGAAATACAAATAACAAAACTTGAAAATACTGATTTAGACGTTAAATTCATAGTTCTACGCATACATATTTTTTTTTCGTAGCAGTAACCCTGCGGGCTCGGGCTTAAAATTGTGTTTTGATATATAATTAATATATAATTATCAATCTGTTTCAAAATACATTACTTGCATGAATGAAAAAGTAAAACATACGAACAGATATAATTCTTGTAGGTCTAAAGAAAATAGAAATCTAGGTTCAAGATTTTTATGTTTCTTACCATTTGGTTTAACACCGCGTTTCAAAAGTATTTCAGTTTATACCGACGGGAAATTAACCACTAACCTATTATGAATCAGAGGTGTTGTACGAAATATTTCAGTTCAGTTTTTTTTAGTGAAACGAGAAACGTGTCCCTCGACAAAGGCTGTAGCACTAAACCCTCTTTTTCCATGTACCTACATTTTTAATTAACTAGCTAAGCGAGAGGGCTTACACCTGTTAAATAAGGTATGGTAAAACATTTACAATCTATACAGTATCACGAAAATATTTGATATCTAAATTTATAAAATGGAATTGCAAATAAAATTTTGCTAGCGTGTCACGGACCGGTACCCAAAACCCATAAATTGTTAGATTACGCAGCTGACTCTGCTCTTCCTTATTATTAGTGCATTTAGGAGGGAGTATACAGTTTTCTGTCGCTTAGTGGCATGGGTGAAAATTACAAACAAGGGGAAGTTTTAAAACTGAAAAAGATATATGAGCTTCTTAATATTTACAGTTGCTATATTTAAAGTTTCAGTTAATTAGTAAAATTCTTTTTATAGTGGTGCTCGGCCATGCATTTAACAAAACTACTTGTCTTATTTGAATCTTTTCATCTTGGGTATATAATGTTTTTGTTGTGTTTTGTTAGCAGTATTTTCATTTAAATTTATAATGATTAGAAACGGAAAAACATATATATGATACGTTAGATATCAATATGGCTTTGAAGCTTTTAAAATTCCAATGCATTTGTAATAAACATTTATAAACAAATTCTTTAACAACATACGTTTTCAGCAGCTGATCGCATAAACTGTTTTGCAACATCATTCCAGATTGCGGGCACTGTTAATACCCAATGTATGTCTGATTCTAAAATAGTTTTGTCCAGAAGTCTCGACCTTATAGTTTCTAAAAGGTCATCTTTGAGGTATTTAATCGACAGGCTAAAAACCACGTTTGCTGACAGAGACTTTCCTGCGATGTCTTGAATTTTGAAAGTCTGTCCTAAAGTCTGAAATAAATGAACATGCTTAAAAAAGGAATATGTCATAACTGGAACAATTAATGATTTGACAATGTTTTAATATCAAGGTTAATTGAATTTTGATACTATCGAGCTGAAAGATAACATGCCTTTTGAGTTCAAAGAAGTTATGTACAATAAACAATTTTTATCATATATTATCTACTTGAGCGCCTAAAGTGACATAATGCTCATGAAAGTCAAAATAAGTTAAAATGTTCTCATAATTCCTGTCAATTTTATAATTTACTTCACATGAACGATAAATAACCCACTAGGCCCAGTGAAATGTGTGTAATTATCCGTCGGTATATATCTGTAACTTTCAATTTATAAAAAGGGTGGGGCAGTCTTTTTATATATTTAGGTAGATTTTATTTTTTTCCCTAAACATTTTTAAGTTATCATGTGTTAGTCAATCACTATTATAACGACAAGTTAATTGAAATATATAGTCAATTAAAGTCAATTTGACAATGAAAACATGAGCATAATGTCACCTATATTAAATATTTACAGATTTTATGGTGCGTAAAAATATTTAGTATCACTTGATTCATTTAGAAACAATTCTTACCAAATAGTTGGCTCGGTAATGTTTAAAATTTGTGGAAAGAAAACATTTGAAATATTTATTTTGATATACAAACAGAAAAGTAAAAATGTATAAGAAAACCAATAAAAACAACAATTCTAAATTCAAAAATGAAGCAGGATATATGTTTATTTATAAAAACAAACAAAAACAGTAAATTAAATTTACCCTATTGTATCCAAAGATAATGGCTCTTAATAAATCAAATGTGTTATGTTAGTCAGTAAATGAAGCATGTCTTACCATCTTGTCGTAAAGTTGCATTTTAAATCTTTGAAAGTAGAAGTAATCCTTATGTTGATTTTCTTCAGCAAGTGATGCATAGTCTGTTTCCGCCTCAAAACCAAACGAGTGAAAGGTTTCACCATCAGGCTTGATCAATATTGAAGTTGGAGCTAAACGAAAGAAACTTAGTTAAAGGGCTTTGGTTTATGACGAAATGCTTGTAATACAAAAATACTTGATAGTATTAATTTAAAGTGATCTTCAGCTTAGAATTTCTGTTGTCAAAAAATTACTAAGTATTTCAAGAATTTTTCCTAGGAAAACGAATCGTCCGCTTTCCTTATTTAGATATAGAGAACGGACCGGTAGATAAGAGATATCAAGGGGTTTCCTTATTGTTTATGTATTATATCTTCGGCAATTTTCATTTTCCACCTTAATTCTTTTGATTTGACAATTATTTAAAACAATTTATTTAAAAGTATCATTTTTGAACCTTTAGAAAAACGGAAGGTCGCTTTAAGTATTAGACTGGAAGAATCATATTTAGGTGTTGTTAGCAAGCGAGATACCTGACTGGATGTTAATTATATTAATGAAGAAGATAATAAAACGTTCAAGAACAAAATAGTACATTTCATTATGTTTAATGTTCATACTAAATCATTTAGAACTTATCAACTTATATTTTATTAGAATATCAAAATGATCCATATCTAAGATACTATCAATATCTATCAAAAAAAAAAAAAAAAAAAAAAAAAAAAAAAAAAAAAAAAAAATAAAAAAAAAAAAAAAAAAAAAAAATGAAAATAAAAAACCCGGGTCTGTTATGAAAATGTAATTTTTGTTGTTTTCATTAGTTATGAGTGATAATCGCCTCTATTCCTGTTCAATTCAAAGTAAGAACTGTACGCACTTTCTTTTTGTGCGTTATATATGACACTATCAGATCTAACGTTTCATCACAACCATCGCAAAAATATGATTTTTTAAAGTAGAAATGTAAATGGGGGTTCTGGGCCACTTGTAGTATAAATAAGGAGGAATAAAGTACTTACTGACAGTTATTGATGTATTCAGTAACTATTTTGGGGCAATAACATTAAAAATAAAACTGGAGAGTCTGTTACTGACGCTTTTAAAAGAATAATTGCTGAAGGTAGAATTCCACAGAATTTATGGGTAGATGAAGGAAAGAAATTTTATAATACAAACCTTTCATTCATTTCTAAATAAACGCAAGATTAATATGTACCATACTTTAAACGAAGGAAGGCTGTAGTAATTGAACGATTTAATAGGACACTGAAAAGAGTAATGTTGAAGTATTTTACAGCAAACAACACTTATTATTATTTAAATTCGTTATCAAAAATGCTAGATCATTATAACAATAAAAGACATAGCAGTATAAAATGACTCCAAATCAAGCAAGTAAATCATCAAACAAAGGAATGGTTTACTTTAACTTATACATTTATCTTCAAAAACCAAAAGGTAAACAAAAATTTCAAGTAGGAGATCGTGTTCGCTTGAGTAAAATCAAGAGACATTTTGAAAAGGGATATACACAAAATTGGACAGAAGAAATATTTATAATTGATTCAATACAAAATACAATTCCCAGGAAATATATAGTAAAATATTTGAACAATGAGTTAGTTCAATAATCATTTTATGGACAAGAACTGATGCCTATATGCAAATACTTTACCACTTATTATTAATCGTGAGTATACACCTTTAGTACAGGTAAATGTCAACTAAATCTATTTTTGAAACATGGTAAACCCATTTCAAACTTATGTTTCTAAAATTAGAAAAAAAAAAACAAAACAAAAAAAAAACCGGGATAAATTTAGAACACATACTGTAGAGTTAAAAAAAACTTTCTACTTATTCATGTAGCATTAGTTTATTAAATTATGATGTTAAATTATAAAGTGACTGCGTGTATTATTAAGAAGAACCTGTTGTTACTATGTATACTTCTATTTCTTATGATCTCATTAACTAAATAACCTGAATGTCTTAACTGCTTACTGATAATGTGACGACAGGCTTTATATATTTTGCCTTATAGCCTACTAAAGTTTACTCTTGTTATACATTATCGCTCAAGCACTTATTTTATTATAATATAACATAATTGTTATCATTTTTAGTTTTCTTATCAACTACGTTCCTTGCTTAAATACAGGTTTTTCAGCCTGTTTTGCCGATGTACATATTTTGATATTTAGTACCATATATATATTACAGTTTCTATTTCAAAATACTTTATTATTGTTTAAATATACAAAAAGCTGAACTTTATTTATTCTGATACGATTAAGTTACATATTATTCTTAATTAATCGCTGATATGTTTTTAATGTAAGTTTTCTTTCATTATATCAATTATGACAGCCCTGAAACCTTGTACAGTGTAATCACTGATACATTTTATGTGTAAGTTTTCTCTCATTACACTAAATATGATAGCCTTGAACCTTGTAATCACTGATACATTTTAAGTGTAATTTTGCTTTCATTATACTATTAAATACGGCTTGTATGATACCATTGAAACCTAGTTATCGCTGGCGCATTTTTGACATAAGTTTACTCTCGTTATATGAAATATTATAGCATTGACGCTTTGCAATTACGTGTGAATTAATTAATTTATTTCTGACAGGTACTTTCATGATTTGAACACATATGTCTGGCTATAAGCCTAGTTCTTGCCGATATACCTTTATTGATATGTAACTTTGTATCATATAATATGAATGTTTCTATTTCCATATTAAATAATTGTTTTAAATATGCACAAAGATGAACTGTATATACTGTATCATGTTACGGTAACATATTTCTTTTTCTTATATTATGATATACATGTATAAAATGACTGTTTGTATTTCCATGTGTTATAATTGTTTAAATATGTTAAAGAGTAACCGTATATATTCTGACATGTTAAGTTGATAAATTTCTCTTTCTTATGTAATGATTAATATTCCAATATTGATGTGTATGTGTCTCCAAACATTAACATGATAATCATTTCCTTGCTTTCAGCAAAACGATACTTCTATCACACATGTTCCAATTTTTGTTTGTTTATTTTTTCATGCTTCAAAAATAATTCCGATATAGAAAACACACTGTTTTAAGAAAAGTATTAAATCAATTATCAAATAAGTTCAGATATATCTTATTATCTCATCAATTCCATCAAATTATTATACCAATTTTCATTTTTCACATCTATTCTCAAGTTCATTTTTTTCTTTCTCAAATATACTTCTAAAAATATGCTATCTTCCTTTTTACTTCATCTACTCACAATCTCTTCTTCAACTCATTTATCTCAAATCATAGTCTCAAGATCTTCATATAATGATAAACGAATAAATAATGTGTTCATTCTTCTCAACGTGTCTTACCAATGTATGGTCCTGACGGCAGAATCCATAGTCCTGATACTCTTTTCATCTATAACATAGTCAACTATAAATATTATACTGCTGTCACTTGTCCAAACAGGTATTATGGGTTGTTTCCTCTATTCACTCATGTGTTGTTATGTCTATATACATTTTTTCTGCCCTATTTCAACTTTGTCATTACAGTATGGTTTATTAGTTGCTGTCAACAAACATAGGTTAATTAAACTTCCTTATAAGAATGTAATTCCAAATCCCTAGAAGTTAACAAAACAAATATTGTAGATAATGTAAGATTAAAACAAGCCTAAGTCGCTCATTTGACAGGTTCTTTTACGTTTTAATAGTTCACGTTGATAACTATGGTGAAATCTAAATGCTGTAACTTGACCCGCGTGGGTCAGGTTAGGAAACCAACATTTTTTTCTTTATATGGGAAAAAAATTGTTCCAAAGACTACTTAGTCTATTCATTTCGATGACATTTATAGAATATTGGATAGAAAATTAAAATCTAAAATATGAAAATTTTGACTGTGTCTCCCTTTAAACATGAGTTTTACATTTGCATTTATAGAAACCTTATTTATAACTGTCCTTTGTATGTGGTTATACTTACTTATTTTGATGGCCGGTGATGTCCATAAAAACCCTGGCCCTGAATCATTGTTTTCAACATGCTCAGACCAATCTCAGTCCGATTTTACTAATATTCAACTTCACCTTTCGTTCGTCCACTTAAACGTCCAAAGCATTCGTAATAAACTTGATTTAATTTATTCAGAACTTTATGACTTTGATATACTGGCTTTCTCTGAAACTTGGCTTTGTCCGAATATACCTACCGAAGATCTCGCTCTTACATCATATTTTAGTCCCGAACGTAAAGATCGTGTATAAAATACTTATGGAGGAGTTATAGTATATATCAAAAATAACTTACATTACACCAGAAGACGTGATCTTGAACTTAACTTTCTTGAAAATATCTGGATTGAACTTATTCTCGAAAACAACAAACATATTCTTTTTGGAGTCTTTTATCGCGCACCAAACTCGGGTGCAATTTACAACGGTCTTATTGAAGACTCAATTGCTCTTGCTGTTGATACTAATATAACAAATATAATTATAACAGGAGATTTTAACTATAATGCCTTAAACAATTTATCAAATAGAAAAATTTCAGCACTTACACAACAATTTAGTTTGGCTCAACTAATCGAAGAACCCACACATTTTACTGAAAATTCTGAGTCAATAATTGACTTGATATTTGTAACCAACAAAGTAAACATTCTTCATTCTGGTGTTGGTGAACATTTCCTAGATCAAGATTCGCGATATCACATTCCAATTTATTGTCTTTTGAAATTTAAAAAATATAAACAAAAATCTTTGCAAAGATTTATTTGGGAATATAAGCGTGGTGATTATGAAAAGTTAAGAAATGATATACAGGCTACTAACTGGAACAATTGTTTTGATACTGACATAAATATATATACTAACAAAATGACAGATAAATAACTAGATATTGCCAAAGATTGTATTCCTAATAAGATGATATATGTTCGCCCTTCCGATGTTCCGTGGATGACAAGTATTATACGAAGTCATATACGAATAAGAAAAAGATTATATAAAAAAGCTAAACTTAAACAAACAAGAACTCATTGGCAAAAATTCAGACAATTTAGAAATAAAACTACGTTACTGATCAGGGAAACAAAA